GAGAGAGAGAGAGTGTGTGGGTGCGTGCTCGAGAGGAGAGTAAAAATCAAAGGAAAAAATTAAAATTTATAATAAATTATTATTATTAATAAAGAGACTGAACGTAAAGTTTAAATAAATAAATTATCATGGACGTGTCGTACGATGCAAACAATCAAAAAAAATTTTTTTTGGTTGTTGTTGTTGTTGTTTCGTACAAACAAAAAATTTTCCTTATGTATTTTAAATAACCTCAACAACAAATTTACTCACCTATTTATCGCCGCGACTCCCATATTATTTTTATTTATTTATTAATCCGATATTAAATATTAATACTATTAATTATTATTGTTTTTTATTAAAAGATATTAATTAATTAATTGTTAATAAATAAATAAATTAATAAATATTATTATTATTAAAAAAAATCGGACGAATAGATAAAAATATTTATTTAATAAATAAATCATATACATATATGTAATTATTATTAATATAATTATCATAGTTATTAAATAAATAATATATATATTATTAAAATAAAAAAATTATTTATTATTAATATTATTAATTGTAAATAAAATTTTAATCAAATTAATATTATTATTATTATTAATAAAAGTCTATCATTTATTTATTTTTTATTTCATGCTTTGGCTTCCGTATGTTATGTAAATAATTTTTTAACGTATCCTATCATTAATATATATATAAATAAATAAATAAATAAATAATATTGTTAAATTATTATTATTATTATTATTATTATTATTATTATTATTATTTTAATAAATACGTAAAAAATAATTTTATTTATTAATTGTAATAATTTACGGGAGTGCAGCTATTAATAATTATCTATTTATTTATTTTAATATTGTTATTATTATTAATAAATAATTTTATTTATTTACTTATTAAAACAGAAAAATTTTATTACCCTAATAATTTTTTTTTATTTTTATTATTTTCGAAAGTTTTTTATTTATTTATTTAAATAATTAAAAAAAAAAGTTAATAAATAAAAAAATTACGGTACAAAACCTTTCAGGGCTAATAAATAATAAATTAAATTATTATTATTATTATTTATCGATTAATACATTTAATAGTAATAAAAATTATATTGTTTTTATTACTTTTTATTAATTATTTTTTTAAATTAATTAATAAATAATTTTGTATTTACCTGGATGTATATTAATTAATTTCCAGGTTTCTCGGTTCTACGGGTCCACGAGGTGTAGAGTCGAGGTATATATATATATATACATATTGTTGTAATTATTATTATCATCATTATTACCGTTCGTTGTTGTTATTATACGATGCTTTATTTTGTTTTTTTTTTTGTATAAATATTATTATTATTATTATTATTATTATTATTATATAAAAATGAGAGTTTGTTAATCTAAGTGTGGGTGTGTGTGTGCGTGTGTGGATTCTTCGTATTTACTTTTCGATGTTTCTCTACATTTGTAGTTATACC